CCCCCCCCCCCCCCCCCCAAACAAAAAAAAAATCATCCAAATAGTTAAGAGGTGTTAAACTTGATCTGGGTGTGCCCGTCTAATTAACCTGGTAGATGAAGTTACTCAATGTTAATTCAACCTGAACATAAAACTCTCAGTTACAAGCGATAAACAGAAGGCCATCTCATTGGCACATCATACATCGGTTCAATCCATGGCTCTCTAGCGCTCAGGACAACTAGCACCAAACCACTCACATCGAGCTGTTGAACTACCCAATGGATTAAATAGTTGGATGATGATGAAACCCCCAATTCTCTGTAGGAATTTCCAAATATATTAGGATCTTATTTTCTTGACTATAAGGAGAAAAACATTTTTTGATTCTGAGCCTAAGCCAAGTAATTAGCTTTGACTGGTTCTTGGGAAGCTTTGGCTTATATTTCCCATATTTCTAGCTATTATTTTATTATTTATTAAAGCAAAAATTATTATGTGCAAAATACAACATTAAGATTGATCAGAGAGGGAGATGCCTCGGATTGAGAGACTCAGAGAGAAGTATTACTGTGATCAAAGTCAATCAAGTACAGGCCCGTCTAAGATTAAGTTGAAGGCCACCAAGCCATCGAGATATGGAACTGTTTCATTAGACTCACCGGTGAATAATTTCAAATTTTCATTTGAGATGGATCAAATTCGATTTCCTCTTCGCCACAACATCGTCTCTGTAAGCACTCTTTTTTCTTATTGTTAGTAAAATTTCAGATGAGTAGTTCGTGTTTCTATTAAAACTGCAGTAGATAAGAAAAAACACACATAGTCTATGTAATAAGGAAGCAGATCAGAACGTTCCCCTCCTTCCACTAAAGATCCCATGTAAATAATTTTACAGATTAAACGAGATCGAACAAATTAAACAAGAAACTCTAACTCTACAGTTATCATATTAACTTGGAACGAACAAACTCCTGAAAATACAACGAATTCGCACATTTCATCTTCCTCTCATCATGCATTTTCTTTTCCCTGCATCTCCCATGTCCTCTTCTTCCATATAAGCACTATGAAAAGATCAAGTAATAACCGAAATAATCAAACAATTTCATCCCCCTGACTCCTACGTATGATCACTACACTCTTTGCTACCTCCTTGAAACTTGACCAATGTACTGCCCTACCATCCTTTCAATAATTTTCTAGTAAAAGAACACGCGAAGTTCATTAATCATCAACCTCTGAGCTATTTCTCTATACTGCTAGTAGAAAAAAAACACGAAAAGATGATCACCAATGATTACACAATCACAAAGGAAACAATCGGATCGCATCATATTCTAGGAGGTGAAACCAACTCGAACCGATCCCTAACTAACCGCGAAAGATCAAGACAAGGGTTTTGAGAGCTTATACCTAGGGCACAGAATCTAAGCACCGCAAACAATGGAGATGCATAGAGAATTCACAGAGATCGCAGGTCAAGAAGAGATCGTACCTGATCTTTCCCTGATCAGCGAAGACGCGTCCGGTGGCGGCAGCTGAGGAGGTCGGCGGCGATCAATTCCACGCGCACCGGAGATCTGGGCCGCCGCCGGGCGGCCTGAGAGAGCAGAAATTAGGGGGAAAGGTGGGATTTTTTTGGGGGGTTTGGAGGAAAAAAAAAGGGAGGGGGGAGGCTACGCTTTTTCTCGTGCGCTGAAGGAACCTGTTGAGTAGCGTAAATATATTTTTCTCTAGATTTTGTTCGCGAGAGAGGAGAGGGTGGGACTGCTGTTAGCGAGCCGGGACATAAAAACATGGGACCTATATGCGGGACAGATGAGATGCAGTTTCGGCTATCTATTTTATGAACGGTGTATCAAAGAATAGGGAGTCCAAACGTCACCTCTGTCATGTAGGGTCTCATGTTTTTTGATACCCGTAGCACCACAGTTACCTTAGGCCCCGTTTGGTTCCGGTTTTTGGATGGGTAAAAGAACGGAAAGCTACAAAAATGTTAGCTTTTTGACAGATTTCCCCCAAAATCGCCTCTATAAGAGGCGATTTTGGGGGAAAGTTGCCAAAAAGCTGATATTTTTGATAGTTTTTCCCAATTTTACTCATCCAAAAAACCAATCCAAACAGCCCCTTAGGGACTGTTTGGTTTCCTGCTTTTGAGGAAAATGCTCTCTTGAAAGTCTGCCAAAAGTGTCACTTTTTGGCAGGCTTTCAGCCAAAATCTTCTTTTTTAGAAGCGATTTTGGCTGAAAGCCTGCCAAAAAGTATCAATTTTGACACTTTTGACAGGCTTTCAAGAGAGTCTTTCCCTCAAAAACAGGGAACCAAACAGCCCCTTAACGCTGCAGAGGGGTCAAGCTCATCGGTGAGGGCGGCAGGGGACCCACGCATCAGAGGGTGGGGCCAAACGAACCGCGGACCCGAATTCTTTATTCGGCCATTGGGTGGGTAAAATGTGATTTCCATTAATCAAAACAGGGTCAAAAAGTGCAATATCGACATGCCTGCCAAAAGAGAGAAAGGCGTAATATAGATTGTACGTTTTTGTATTTTCATTTATGATAAAAATGATCAATGGGATCGTATCAGAAGGACTGGGTTCGGGGATCATTTTTAGTACACGTGTAGTTTGACTTCACACGAATGTGTGTCAATCATGTTCACCTTTTTTGGGGTTTTTTTTGTATTAGTCCCTAAATCTTCCATGTTTTGATATTAGTTCCTCAAACCATGAAAATTTAATGAAATGTGTCGAAATAGTTGATGGAATATTTCGATTCTTTTGAAGGTTTAGGGTGTAATCTCAAATTTACCCTTGTGAACCCAAACCCAGCTTGTCTTCTTCCTCAAGGATAATCATCATGGTTACTAAAATTACTAACAAACTCCTTTTCATTTTACCTTCATTGCCCTCAATTGATGGACGGCAGTATACAACAATAATTCTTATTGTCACTATTACATTCACGAGATTTCACAATTGGATCGCCGATGATCTCTAGCATTGGAGTTGTTGGTCATTAAATAACATTCAAACTTTCATTCTCTTCGCCTCTCTCCAAGGTTTTTTTCAAAACCACCAAGCTTTTTCAATAGCTCCCATATTTGGGTATATTAATTGGAAAAGTTATAAAATTGTTATGTCATCCCCAAATAAGCATTAAACCAAAAAGCCTAGGATCTCAAAAATGAACGTAGATTGGGAGTGATTCTGCAAAAGTAGTCTTCAATCAAACTTGATCTTTGAGTTTCTTTCTGATCTTCGTTGATCCGGGTGAGAATTTGTGAATAGAGACGCCCCATTTCTCAACTATTTAAGCAGGAATTTAGAGGGAGAGGCAAAAACTGAGCTGTGGGCTTCAATTCGAAAGGATAAAATGGTACATATACGTTCTTGGTTAACCCATACCCAAACCATGATTAAGCTTTTGGACGAAAAATGTGACGGACGGACTTATGTCAACACAGTTAAAGGATTTGGAGGACTAATTCAAATTTCCATAATTTGGGGACTAACATCAAAATATAGAAGATTTGGATGTCTAAAATCGAGAAAACCTTTTTTTGTAATTAAAAAAAGTGAACATGATTGACCCATATTTGTGGGACAAATTTTCAAAACCAACCCGTTTCATGTTTTAATTGCAAAAAACGACGTGTTTCCAATTTATTTAGAAAAACCGACCTGATTTCAGCACTGTCGCTGAAACCAGGTCGGTTTTTCTAAAAAACTTTATGAAACTTCACGGGAGTTCAACTCCCATGAAGTTTAGTACACTTTTAAACTTCACGGGAGTTGAACTCCCGTGAAATTTATTTTCCTCAATAAACTCCACGGGAGTTCAACTCCCGTGGAGTTTGTTGTAATGTTAAAACTCTACGGGAGTTGAAATCCCGTGGAGTTACAGGCCAAATTTCCTAGAGAATCGCTCTCTGGGAAATTTAGACTGTAACTTCACGGGAGTTGAACTCCCGTGAAGTTGCAGGTTTTACAAAACATGCACAGGCTGCTATGCATGTTTTGTATGCGTCTACCTATTTAACTCATATATACAACTATTTACCTGTTGACAATAATTACTGCAATATATATATTATTTAAACACGCACGAATCAAACAATACGCAAAAAGATCACATATCGAGCTATAATTGATCCATAAAAGTATAGTATTTGAAAATTCATACAATTTACAAATTTTAACAAAATAAGTTCAAATACAACCCAATATAGCTCCTCTCCTTCCTCTCCCTCTCTTCCCCCTCCCCCTCGCTCTTCCCCGCCCCCCGCGCTGATGAGCCTCGACTATCTGAGTATCCGGCTGTGTGTGAGGCTGCGAAGTGCCGGCTCCATCAGCATGTGAAGTGCCGGCTTCATCAGCATGTGAAGTTCCGGCTCCATCAGCATGCGAAGTGCCGGCTCCATCAGCATGCGAAGTGCCGCCGTCATCGTCACGTGGCCGTCGGCGCCGAGTGTACGCTTGCCCAAATGATCGAGACCTGTCCTCACGGCCTGCGAACTCGTCGACGTGAGTCTTATGAAACACCTGTGCTATGGTCTTCTTGATCCTGCCGAGGAGCCCTAACGCCACCTGATCCTGAATCTCAGGCACGGTCGCATCAATATCAGCCTCAATGCTATCAAAAGCACAGACCTGTGAGGTAAATAATTTATTAAGTACCAACTCAAGAAAAAAATATTATAATTTAGCTTAGAAACTTACGTAATCTCTCTCGTTCATCCCACTAGGGATGTAACTATCTGTCGGTGGCCGTGACATGTGTCCAGCTAAGGGCTGTGGGTCACGTGTGATCCATCTACGTGTGATACCCCAATACCAACCCATATACGCGGTATAGTCAACAGCTATGGGCCTCGTATCCTAGATGAAATCCCACATGTGAGCCCACCTGTCTATGTAGGCCGCACGGACTACGGCCCAGTCGGTATGGTGCGAAGTAGGTCACCGCCGACGAGAGATCTGCTCGATAGGATCTGGCACATGCTGAGAGAGCGTAAACTGTCGTAGCACACAATCAGGGACATGCATCTCCACGATCTCCCAACAAATCAATGGAACTCTTGCTCTCCACAAGTCGGGACTATCTCGGCAGATAAGTGCAAGAGAATGCATATCCAGCTCCGGCGGTGTATAGGGTCTCCACTTGAACTGAAATAAAATAAAAAATTTATCAGTATCAACAACAAAACTATAATATTCATAATGACTTGAGATTTATATTTACCTGTTCGTGTTGGAGGCTATCAAGCTCATTTCGGTAAAACTCACGATGGCGCGTCGCTGATCGGTACTTAGCGTACCGCACGTTATACCTATATGCAGAATAGAGAATATATAAGTACAAATTTAGTGCGAATAAAATTTGTGTGTACAATTATACATGTACGCCAAAGGAAACTGCCCCTGTAGGTCACGGTGCACAAGTAAAGTAGGGCGTCCAATATGAATGCGCTCCCATGACCAAATCTGTATCAATGTGCAGCATCCCTTGAATTCTTTATTCTACATCAGGGATACTCTACTCAGTTCTCGATACAAGTATGCCAACACCGCACTGCCCCACGACAGTGCGCCGCATACGTCAAAATCCTCTAGCAATGGCAGTCATCGTGCATGTACAAGAGTCTTGCTCGCATCAAGAAAAAGCACGCACCCTATCATTGTAGGCATATAAAATTGCTTATAGGTCCCTTAACACGGCTCAACACGAACTAATGAGCCATCGGGCGCGACGTATCCAAGCAACGAAACGTCAGTCCACACACCGAAGCCAGTGACACGCACGAAACCGCACATGAAACACGACGGAGATGAAATCTACTCGCGTGCCGGAATCAAACGCAACGGTGCCCATGAGAGTCTAACAGAGTCATCCAATCCATAGTAACGGATTCGAAGCTCAGACACCAAAGCCGATTTTTTAAGCTGGCCTTAATCGGGATCGCAGACTTCGAAATCAGGAATCAAGTCAAACGAATCGATTTCAGAACCAGCAATCACCGGCATACACGGCGAATCACGGACTGAAGCGGATACAAGATACCGGAAACAACCGGAACGAACGGACGGCAAAGCGCGCCGGAGTTGGCGTGCGGGCCAAAGCCGAGCCACCTTGGGGTGTGCTTCGGGCCAAGGCCGAAGCCACCCCCGCATGGCTCGGCAAAAGGCCGAGCCAACGCCCGGGATGGCTTGCGGCGCAAAAGCCGAGCCACCCTCAAGGGTGTGCATCGGCAATGAGGCCGAGGCGCACCTGAGGTGGCCGCCCAGATCTGTGCCATAATGCACTAGAAGTCTGGTTGCCTATAAATAGGCGGGAGATCATGTATCCCATTTGAGGGGACTATTAATGAAGAACTTTTGAGAGCGCGAAAACTCTGTCGGAAGTTGAGACCCTCATGCTTGGAGTTTTTGCGAAGGCTTGAAGAACTTTGGACGTTCGATCTGATTCTCGGCGAGCCACCGCTATCACAAAAAAAGGCAGGAGTTGCGAGGGATCAAGAATCTGCAGATCTAGCGTTGTTATCAACTACCGGGAATCTAAGCTTTGGTTTAGATCCCGAGACTTGACAGATGTTTTTCATTGGTGAATCAATCGGCTACACCTGGGCTATTATATTTCGCTTCGTGAAATAATAACCCGTTAATACTGGCGTAAGATCTGTCCAGGATCTAGATCGCAGCGGTGGTCCACGGCAAACAACCGACCGGCGTAGGCGAAACAAGCCCACCAAAGCGAGTGACCACGAATAACAGGAGCTCGGCGATTTGTTCACAAGGAGAAAAAGTTGTAATTTTTGATTTTCTTATATTTTTGATTTTATTGTAACCGGGATCTAAAAAAGACCGAATCTTCCTGTAACCAAAAAACTGTTATTCAGATAGCAAATGACATCAATGAAGTAAAGCAAACAGGAATTTTGCCGGCGAACAATCTGGCGGGAAGCCGAACAAGTGGGAGCCACCA